GAAGCGGGCAATCGAGGACATGAGTGCTCCTTTGACAGAGTTCGACTCCATACGACTCTGCACGGGGGCCAACAACTGCACGGGAGACGCCGACGGACTCTTCGGTCTGAACGAGGGCTTCCTGGAGTACTTCAACCACACCACCCTGCAGTGGGTGCCCATCTGCGACGGCAGGTTCACGGAGCGAAACGCGCAGGTTGTGTGTCGGGAGCTGGGCTACGACCCTCTCAACGTTTACTACGGACACGACCGCCGCATCGAGTTCCACACGAACTCCCTGACCCGCATCTGGTCCTGGGTGCAGCCCCTGGAGTGCCGCGGCGACGAAGAGCGGATGGAGGACTGCGCTGAACGCCTGAACGGACAGCTCTACGGGCACCGGCACGAGTGCAGATGGGACGACGTGTTCGTCTTTGTGTCCTGCAACGGCGTGGCCGACGACGAGGTGTACTGGGGCGGCATCCGGTTCGCCAACTCCAAGTTCGAGGAGATCCAGTACGAGCACCGGCTGCACAACTCCCGGTCCAATGCCAGACTGCCGCTCCGAGAAAGTCAGCTGGAGTTCGTCCGAATCGAGCAGGCCGGCATACTCCACAACCACAAGTCGGCCGCCATCCAGGCGGTGCACAAGAACCCCTCCATCACCTCAGTGACCATCGAGAACTCGGCAAACCACGGCGTGAACTTAGTCGCTCCCAGCGGAAAGCTCAACCTGAACCACCTGAACATCAACAAGACATTGGGAACGGGAATCAGCATCGTGTCTCTGTCGGGCGAGGGTCGGGACAGCGACGAGTCCAGCTTCTCGCCTCTCAAGAAACTGGACCTGCCCTACAAGCTCTTCTCCCTGGTGGACATCTGCGACCCCCAGAAGGTGCTGACCATCGAGGAGCGCATGCTGATCTACTACAAGTACGACAACAACCCGGTGAACTGCGTCAAGATCTTCACCTCGGCCTTCCGGGCCAAGCCCATTGGCTTCCGGCTCCTGCAGTCGAATCTGTTCAACCACTCCAAGCTCTACGGGCGCACCGACTTCATAAAGCTCTTCGATGGCGACATCTACAACGTGACTGCCACCTATCTGGGAAAGATCGAGTCCGACACTGATAACCAGCGATCGTTCTTCAAGACCAACGGCCCGACGATGAGCCTGCAGCTGGTGGCCAGCGGGGCGCCGGAGACCCACGGATTCATAGCCGAGGTGGTTACGGTTCCCATTTCTACCTTGGGCCAATGTAAGTATTTCCTGCACCAATCCCACCAAGACCCCTATTCCTTACCGATTCCACTTTCAGATCGCGATGCCCTCCACAACATCACGGACACTCACATCGCGGGTGCCATGAAGGGGGCGGTCAGCTACTCCTCTGCTGGAGAGGTCACGCCCACGCTGACGTTGATCGGAAACCGCATCGAACGGAACTGCAAGCAGCTTTACGGCAACTTCTCCACCTGCGCCTCAGCTCTGAACTTGGACGTGCAGAACATGAATTCGTTGTACTTTATGGTGAGTTCTTGGAATGACTTCGGAATTCCTTTTAATTCTCTTCCCCTTCGCCTCCCCAGAACAACCTTCTCATGGAGAACCAAGGCGGCCTGCGGATTCGAGCCGACTCACGAGGATCGGCCACCTCCCTGCGGGGCTTCGTGCACCACAACCTCTTCATGAGGAACCGCAACCGACCCGCCCTCTACGTGGAGGGTCGCCAGTCCTCTCCCTACCAGGAGGTGGAGCTGTACCGCAACTACTTCGCCCAGAACATGGCTGGCTACGAGGACGTGATTCGGCTGTGCCAGGTGGTGTCCAACTTCAGCTTCAACTACGTGCACAGCAACGTGGGCGGCAGGATCATGGAGGTGTCTGGCTTCGAGAAAGTGAGGCTGCAGATCTACCAGACCACGGCTCACAACGGATTCTACCGGTGCGTCTTGAATGCGTCCTGTTTGTTGACTTTTCATTAACTTTAATGTTCGACTTTGCAGGAACTTTGCCACGAACTGGATGTCCAGAGCCACCATTGTGGCGGGAACGGCGGGTCAGCAATACGTGGACAACATCTTTGAGAACTACGAGAATGATTACGAGCTGCTGACAGTCAACAACTCAATGTAAATAGAATTAAACGATAGATACTAGACTTAATAATGTTAAACCCTTATCCTTTTATTTAAAAACTTCTTCCCTGAGTCTGAAACTAATCCTTCACTTTATTTCTTCCTTCCTCAACGCTTTTCCTTCCGTAGTTTGAGTTTTGACTATGAAAACAGGTAAGAACGCCACACAATCCATCTTGCATAGACTTACCATTATATAATAAATATCCCCCAACAGGACATTTGAAACCTGGAGCTCGAAGATCGACGCCCGGCACAACTATTGGAGCTACAACAACACCATTTCAGTCCAGTCTCGAATCAAGGATAAGTCAGGTACGTGGTTAAGAACTCCACAACTGATCGGTAGTAATCGAAAACTTATTCCCCAGACGATCCTATGCTGCTGGAAGTCCTGGCGGTGCCCTTCCAAATGAACAACGAAACCATCCTGGACGGGAAGTGTCCTCCGGGCTGGGCTCTCGTCCACGACACCTGCTTCATCTACGTGGGGGCTCCGATGACCTTCCACGAGGCCCGCGACTTTTGTCGCTCCGAGAACTCGACCATGCCGTTCTTGCGGACCGATAAGACCACTCTGTGGAGGTACCTGCAGAGCCAGATGAGGCACTTGAAGTACCCGGAGAAGGTGTGGATCCAGGACTACAACCACATCGAGCGGTGCACGAGCTTTGTGTTCGGAGAGATCGAAATAGAGGACTGCGGCAAGGAGCGGGGATTCATTTGCGAGATGGACCCGAGGGTGAGCATCTAAAAGTAGAACCTTCAAGTCTGAATCTAATCCCCTTTGTCTTTTTCCCCACGTAGGTCATAATCGATCCCCTCTCCTGGCGGGCCGACATCTTTGCCATCAGTATTATCTCAGCGTTTGTCCTGGCAATCATCCTCCTAATCCTAGTGGCCTTTTGCTGGTTCGCCAAGTCCAAGCACCGGCACGTCCAGCGCCTCCAGAGGAGGAACAGCATCCGCCAGAGCCTGCGCAGCCTGAACAGCATAGATCCCCAAGGATCCCTGCGCCGCAGACCCAATTATGTATGATTTTGTTTTGCTTTTTAGTCCTTCATTTTTGTTTTATGTTCCGCCTTTGTTTTCCATTTTATGTTGTTACTTTTGGTTCGTGAACCCCTCCAGAACATGTCCAGCAACGGAACCCTCTCCAAGCCCCAGGACTACAAGCAGATGGTGGCCAATGGCTCCATCGATTCCATGGACAAGAGCGTCCTCAGCTCGGAGGCGGGCAGCTTCGAGGGCTACGAGCAGAAGCCCAACTACAACGAGTATGTGAACCAGAACGCCCTGAGGCCGGCTCAACAGGGCCAGCAAGGACACAAGGTGGCCACCATCTCCAAGGCCAGTGGTCACCGCGCTCGAGCGGCAGCGGCTGCAGCGGCCCTGGAGCCGGACGCCTTCGAACTAAGCTACAGGAACGAGGGCTTCAGGGACAACTCCACCTACGGCGGCGGCACGCGGGCCAACTCCATCAGCACCAGTGTGGCCGAGGACACGCCCATCATACACCACACGGACCAGGAGGCGGACGAGGGAGGCTCGGACTACTATGGCAACGCCAGTACGCTGCCCCTGCGTACGGATATGGGTGGAACTGGGGGCCAGGGCGGCGGTAGGCGTGGTCAGCCAGGGCTAGCTTTCCTCAGCGAGCTCAAGCAGAACCTGCCAGAGTACCAGAGGAGTTCCCACAGCAGCTTCATGCCGCAGAGGAGCAGCGGCGAGTCCTTGCCCTTCGATCAAAAGCTGGACCAGTTTAACTACTCCACGGAGTCGTCGCTCTACCGTCCGGCCCCAGCCGTGCCCAGTCAGCAGCCGCAGGGCTCTCCGGCGGACATGCGGCGGCCGGACTCGTACTACACGGCGGTGAGGAGCAGCAAGGCTCCTTCCTCGCACTACCGGACACCTAGACCGCTGGCCCAGCCCCCGGCAGCTCCGGCTGCCCCGCTGGTGGGGCATCAGTCGCGGCCCAAGACCGTCTACCAAACAGCCTCGGAGGAGTCCTCGCCCACGACTCCGTCCCCGTTGAACAATCCGTATCATCGCTCCAAGTCGGAGGCATTGTTGGAGACCGACTTCGACGAGGACGGAGGGGCGGGACTGCAGCCGCTCCAGACGAACGGACGAAGCCACAGTCAGCCCTTGGAGACGGCCATGTGATGGATCCGTGTTCCGTGCTAAACGCTCCCCCGACATTCTAAGATCTCTACGGAGCTGACCGAAAACCCAACGGGAAGTAGTATTTTGGCCAGATCTGCCGAGAGTTCCAACCACCACTGCTTCGTAGCTTAAGTTTATAGTTTTTAAATCCGAGATTACGATACGAGATACGAAAACACGAACATTGCCGCTCGTTGCTTATTTTGTGGTAAACTTAGATCATTCCATCCATTAGCCTAAGATTAGATTAAATATTGCCTAAGCGAACGCATAAAACGAATTAGTGCTAACTTGTTGTATATAAACAATAAACTAAATTAAATCTGAATGGAGTGCCAGTCAAGGTTTGTTTATAAACAATACAAAGATAAACATTGAAAGTTTGAATCCGTAATTTAAAAAAGCCCGCCAATCCCCGGTTCAATTTACAGTCCAGTGTTGGATAACGTGTCTTCGGCGATTTTCGGAGAAGAGTTTCATGTTTTTTTGAATTTGGCTGCCGAAAATCATGTCTTTGATGTTGCCAAATATACCGATGACTCAGTTAGAATCCAAGTCTGGCTTACGAAGAGCTTCAAACTATTTTAGTAGGGTTTTTAAGCTCTTGTTTGAATTTTGGGGAAAATCTGGATTTTTGGTCAGCTCAGTGGGGCAACACTGGCACGAAGATGATAACAGCTGAAATAAATCGAGTAAAGTGAAACAGAGTTGGTAAAACGATATAAATACATCATGTTTATACAAATATTTATGTATATGCCCAACAACCGTAGTGGTGCCCAATGCTAAAATACGCGTCGCGTGCTGCCCCCAACTCCTCCCCGTCGAGCCCCGTCAGTTGTGCTGCGTCGAGAAGCCTCCATCGCCATTCATCGTTTGTCACTCGCGTCGCCTGGTTTTCCTCATTTTCCAAAAAAACCGAGAAAATCCAAAGAACACTCCTGCAGCGACAACTGGCCGAGGAGGAACCACCAAGTGGACGCCACGAAGGTGCTCAGCAAGGAAGCGAGTGAATCAAGTAAGTGTCGGGGTCTAACGGTGCTTTTTTTGCGATATCGCCGCAGTGTGGGCGTAAAATTGTGGGTGGCGGGGGCTGAAGTAACGGGAAATCCTTGCGAAGTTGCAAGCCCGAGTGCTAAATTTAGACCTGAGGCTGAAGGCTGCACCAGAACCCCCCGCCCACTCTGGAAACTGTCGCCACATGCACGCACGCTCGCGAACAATGTAATAGGGTCTCCAAAGGAGCTTTCCAGCCTGGGAGGCACAATCTAGGAGTACTGGGTGATAAAATACTGTTATCTACGTTCGAGTAACGCTCGTTGAGGTGAACGTAAATAAATACCGTTGTGAAGAAAGTAGATTTCCAGAAAATAATCAGAAATGAACTAAGGACTTAGTGTTGTGAGCGTGGGTGTATGGCTGGCGGGAGAGAGTGTGCGTGCAACGCGCCAGTGTTTGGTATGAATGGAGCAAATACTCTGCAGCAGACTTGGGGGATGGAGGGGCCTGGGCTGAGGCTGGGGCTGGGGTGGGTGGCGAAGCGTTGCGTTGCGTGTGTATTGGAGCCGTGCTTCGGGCACGAGGGTTGTGTGTATTTGTGGCACGTAGACTCGTAGTAAAATTTTCCGCGTAAAATTGAAAGCAAATTGAAAAGCGGGAGTTGCGAAAATCCCCAAACAAGCAGAGCCCCAAAAAGAGACTGCAACAATGCAGCAGCAGCAGCAGAGTCGTACGAATTGAACGAAAACCAGTTCGTGCGTAGTTTTCCATGTTTTCCACATTTTGTGGCCCGTGAGCTCCAAACATTTCCCATATCATCGTTGCAACGAGTTTCGCACGCTTCGTTTTATTTCGCTTCTTGCCGCACTCCCCTCCCACCTGGCCCTCCCCCACCCAGCGCCCCATCACACGTTACTACTCATATTCTCACACATGTGTACTTGTCCATGGACATGTGTGGGTGGGAGGCACATAGGCATAGGAATAGCAATCGGCAATAGGCCTGCCACAACCTGCCAGCTACTGCTTCTTCTTCTGTCTATAAATACTAAGGTGCGCGACGAAAGCGTAAGAGCTTTAAGCGGAAGAGTATTAACTATGAGATCGACCTATGAGACTGGTCTTCAAAATAAAATAAACTAGTACTAAGACTAAAAATTAATTATAGTTATTAAACATAATTATTAAAACAGGCCTTATTTGGCAGTGAAACCCATGTAACCCATTCGGTATTATCAATATATCTTATCAGGGTTCTTATCAGATAACTGTTTCTTTACTGAAAGAATTGTAGAAATTTGAATGAATGGGCCGCGAAACCGTTATCCGATTTAGTGGATTTTAAGCCTTGAGCTCAGATAAGCGGGGGAGATTGCCAATAGTTCTGAATGGCTGATAATGGCTATCAGCCATTAGCCCTATCAGTTACAAGTGCGGCCAAGGGCCTTACACTCCCGTCCGGCACCTTAGCAAGTGCATTTGGCGATATCCACCAGGGTTGCCGCTCAGCCGCGAGTTTGCGCAATTGCTGGGTGGGAATGGGCGAAGAATTCAATGAATGGGAAAACAAGTGCACACAAAAGAAAATCAGTCGGGAGAAATTCGCCAGGAATGTTAATTTGCACCTCCAATTACTACACGTCGATTATACGCAATCAATTATCATCGAGCCCCCCGACTCTGTAATTAAGCCGGACTACATTGTCTTCCGTGGATGATCAAAGATTGCTATAGAAATTGGGGTTTATTTTCTAACCCTTTTATAGGGCCTCCATCCACAAGTATTCAGAATATTATTTATTTTCCAATAGGCCATATTCCTTAGCAGGATTCCCTAGACTTGATGTTTTAATTGCAAAAGTGATTGAAATTCAATTTGCGCCCGCCTGTCTGGCAACCATGAGGCTGCATTGGAAGGGGGAGACGGTGGGCGGCTGAGGGCCGGGTGGGGGCCCGGTGTGGGGCTGGCTCTCTCCAGCGTCAGCGTCAGCGCCAGCGCAGATTTCCAGAGATTGCGAGACAGTGTTGCCTCGCCACATTGTGGGCACAATAATTTTTTAGTTGGAGCGCAGCGTTAGCCGGTGACGGGCGATGGGCCAGATGCCATACAGACGACCATTCCGGACGAACCGAGCCACATAGTAACGCCGTAGTAATCAACAAAGTCAGCAGGCGTAGGCGGACCCCGAGCCGAGCCAGTTGTGCAACTGCAAAATAGCCAGAAAGGCCAGAATAGGACTTGGAGCGACAATGGAGCTGGCCAGTCTTCAGAGGGGCTCTGCGGACTAGGCATCCGGAGAAACCGCGAACGTGGACGCATCGAACGGTGTCCCTTTTTACGGATTCGTGTCTGGCTTCCGTTCCGTTCCCGTGCCAAAAAATCGATAATTCCGTGCTGTATAAGTTACGGCGAAAGGTGCGCGGATATCCCTCGGACTGGCGTTCGGATCCACTCGGGTATCCACTCGGCCGGGAGAGTAAATCAGAATCAGGAAGCAGATTCGGAATCGGGGGCCGAAGCAGCGCGTAAAAATAACAAACAAAAATACATGTGCAGGCGTATAAATAGAAACAGCGTGTGAAGCGCAACAGCGAAAAAAGTAGTAGTATGTAGTAATAGTAGTAGAAGGAGGAGCAAAAGGGGAACCAAACAAGCGCAGTCGCTGGCGGCGCCGACGCAGACTTTGACTTCGACTGCGACTGCGACGTCGTAGTAAGTTTGCTCGAGTGCGTGTGGGTGTGTGCGTGCTTGGAAGCAGCCTGCGTGGGTTGCATGGAATGTATAACGAATAAGTCCCAGGCACCGAGTCCCAGGAGCTGAAAAAACCATGATAAAGTTTGTCAGGCACAAAAATCGCGAGAACTCACTAAGGGAATCCAAAAACTTTCTGCGAAAAAAGGTGCCTACACAACCCAACTACTCTTCAAAATCCTCAAAAATATCCAATAATCCTAATCGAATCCCTCGCTCTCTCCCCAGCGTGAATCGAATGACTCTGGCACCGAATCTGATGGTGAACTCCTCGATGTGGAAAGTTACTTAGACGTGGATATGGAAACTAGTAGGTTTAGTTAACTATTTCCACTAAAAGCTACCATAACTACTTCATTCTGTACCCAAATAGGTGTTGCTGGCCAAAAGATAGCTCCTGCAATGATGTGTCACCAGCAGACCTCCTCCTCGTGCGCCCATCTCATGTACGACCAGCACAGCTCCGAGGAGGAGCTGGAGGTGATCAACGGACCCTCCTCGCAGGGCGGCCAGCATCCCGGGGGGACCGCAGCGACGGGCGGGTCCTCGTGCGCCTCCCGGGTCTCGAACCGGGGGTGCGCCTCCTCTCTGGACACGGAGGCGCCCTTCGAGGAGCGGGCCACCACCTCCAACTCGAAGCGCTCCAGCTCCTCCCTGATGGTGGAGAACCGGAAGCGGTCGCTGGCCCACAGCTCCGACGACGAGGTGAGTTTGTGTCTTGGTGAGAATTCGAGTCATCTTCTAACCGAATCCTTGTGTGCCCCCGAAGCTGCGAAACTCGCTGGAGCCGATCTTGACGCCAGTTAATTTCCGCACATCGCCGCCATTGGAGGCGTTCAAGCCAAATCGAAGCCATATGATGTTCCGCTCCACGACGCCACTGATATTATCGGAGGCCCGATGTGGCATCGAAAATATTAAATTATGTGATAATAGTGTAAACGAGGAGAATGGCGACAACGGCGGCGGTGGCGGCGGCGGCAAGTGCGCCAAAATCGGGACTGGGTCCGGGAATGGCGGCAACGAGAACGAGCCGAGTGTGATCAAGGCCTGCAGCAGCTCCCTGAAGATGAGCAACAGCAGCCACCACATATACCAGCCGCTGCCGAAGTACAGTTTCCACTACAACAGCTCCCGGAGCAGTCCGGCCAGCACCACGGGCCTGGACAACATGGAGGTGCGGTCGGTCAGCCCGCCGGCGAAGCTGTTCCACTGCGCCATATCGCCCCGGAGGCGTCCGAGCAACAACTCCAGTGCGCCAGCGGGATCCTCCGCAACAGTATCGGCATCTTCGTCATCCACAACGACACAAAACGCTGCCAACTCTGCCGGGAATGCCGCCTCCGCCGCCGTCGCCGCCACACAGAGACTGCAGCGACCGCATCGGCCGTGTTTAGATTTTGATAAGATGCAGCAGGTGAGTCTCTAATGCAGAGCGGGCTAACAGCTCACCGAGGACGGAGGACGCAGGTCGGAGGACAACGGAGGCCAGCAAGGTAACGGATAGGGGCAAATCAAAGACTTTTTATACGCAACCTCAACAGGAACAGGAACCGAAACAGAAACCGTAACCGTAACCGAAACCGAATCCGGAACTAGAGACAGCTACGTACCTTCAGGCCAGAGAGCACACCAGTCCGATCTAGAAAGAACAGTCGGAGGATAACAAGGTCCAAACCAAACTATATGAACCACAGCGAGCCGGAGCAGCGGCAGGAGCCGAAGGAGAACCAGCCCGAGGAGAATATCATCAAATCAAATTATATAATTATAAAGGTACTTCAAATTTTAAAGCAAACCAGCAACCAGAAACCAAAACGAGAACAAGAAACCTAAAATTTACAATAGATGCAGCTATTTTTTCACAATTTTAAATGGAAACAGTAACGAGTCAAGGACGCAGGTCCAGATTCCAGAGATGCGGATGGAGATGCAGAATCAGAAACTGATCAGATCGAGGTTAAGATTTAGGTGTACGAAGTAGCAACTACGAGAGGATGCGAGAGCCCCGTCAGTCGAAGGTGTAACCTGTAAATATTGTATTTGTGCGAAGAAACCTTTTGAAGAACTGGCGCTCCATCGGGAGAGGCTTCTTTGGGGGGCGCTAGAAAGTATTTTAATTTTTTAATAAGAGACCGACGGATGGCAAACATGGTGATGTGACAGAAGACTCAGAACTCAAAGGAGAGCGAAATTATATTTCTATAAAGATGCAGGATCGCAGAGGGGGAGGCTATGGAGGATCGGGGGGTCTTGGTCTTGGGACTTGGAACAACAATGTGAAGCAACAATAGCAACTGAAATAAGAAACAAGCAAACCATAAGAAAAAACATAAACTTTTGTAAGCTCCGGAGCAACTGGGAGGCAGTTGGAAACCAGTTAAATATGTGTTTAATGTACGACATAAAATAGCGAGCTATTTTATAAACAATATTCAATTAACCCGCAAATAGGAAGCCGACTTAGGAAGCGAGAATCGAAATCGAAAACAAACCAAACCAAAAAGCTGCCATCACCATTCACGGGTGCGATGAGGGCTCCTTAGTTCACCAGTTTGATTGAGGATTGATTGGTTGATTGGCGATATTATACGATTGGCAGGCGAGCTCATAGGTGTATTAGTAATTAACATTTCTTTGTCGAACAATTGCAAGCAGAGCGGACAGGATGACAGGACGACAGGACGACAGGTCGCAGAAAGTAACCCATATTCAATTAAACGAAATCTAAACCCAGTAATGTGTGCAACCATAGCAAGCGAAACAAAACATACATTTTTAAGTACCATACATACTATATATTAAAGCCGGAAGGAAATATTCAACGTAAAGCTAATTTTAAACCGTACTCCCGCGGATTGCGGAGGGCAGGCGAGGTTCAGTTCCAACTCCTAACGTAGTCACCGAATCGCAATTTTTGTCAATATCCATGCCCATTTAACTACCATACCACACCACACACGAGACACTCAACCTACCAGATAGCATAATCCACACCACCAAGACACCAAGATATATATACGGTAATAGCGAGGATAGTGAGGAGATCCAGACACCAGGGAGACAAGTGAATGAGACCATACTGAGCAGAGGTATGGGTCTGAGGAAAAATCGATGAAAGGATATCAAGGACTGATCGTACATTAGAGCGCGAAGGGCAGAGGAGTATTGTAAGAGGGAGGAGACCAGTACTAGGATCTTAGTCTTAAGTTCTGAACAAATTAATTGTGAAATGAAATGAATCGTGAAACAAGTACGGAAAGCACACACAAATCTACGAAGCGCAGGGCTGCGGGGCGTTTATGTTGAATATTTTTGAGATACAAAATTATGTTGTAAACAAGATACAAAGATTCGATTGGGTCCGGGCCCGTGACAGGCGCCCGGCACTTGTGTTGTATATAGTTACATTAATAATACAATATATATTTAATATATATATACATATAATTACTCATTAAATTAAGTCGATGAACGGTACAAGTGCAAAACAAAAGAGAAACAAAAGGCGAAACCTTTGAAAAGACGACAAGTGAAAAGAGATGACATGAAAACATGGAAAATAATAAAGAAATGCTCTGCAATAGATGATCTTTGGCATTTAATTTTCCTTCTCCCATTAAGCCACATCCCTAAGGAACCCTCCTACTGGCTAAAAGGACTTCTAGGTAACACTTTCTACAAGATCCATCTCACAAATTCGTATCGTTTTATTCTGCATGCCTTTAAGCTAAGATTCGATTATTTACAAAACCTACTGATCCTACACCGAGAAACCTGGGCACGGCAGGGCTATAAGCGCAGAACGCCCTGCTCGGACTCGCACATGGCGTCAGACTTGTGATTAAGGGTACCTGGGCTGGCTTCCAACTCCTCCGCCGGCCTCAGTTCCGCTTGGCCGGCGTGCTTTTTCTTCTTGACTTTCGCCGCTGTGGGGGAGGGGTTGCTGGCTCTGGCGGGATCGTGGATCCGGGAATGTCGCTTCAGGTCCCCCGACACTCGGAACCTCTTGCCGCAGACGGAGCACTCGTAAGGCCGCTCCCCAGTGTGCACTTTCACGTGGCTGATCAGGTAGGAGCTGGCCCGGAAGGTCTTGTCGCAGTATTGGCAGGCGTAGTTGCGCTCGCTGGTGTGGATGCGCCGGTGGAGGACCAGCGAGTAGCGCCGGGAGAAGCTCTTGCCGCAGAACTCGCACATGTGCGCCTTGATGTCGCTGTGCCGCGAGATGATGTGGTACTTGAGGTCGCCCCACTGCCGGAAACTGAACTCGCACTTTTCGCACTTGAACGGCTTCACGTCGGAGTCTGTAAACAGAAATGGGTTAGGATTTGTTGGATTCCCCATGTGCCCTGAGCTTACGCGTCCTCTCGTGGGCCTTCAGGGCGCTCTGGGTGTAGAAGGACCTCTCGCAGCTGTCGCACTTGTGGGATCTCTGCTGGTTGTGCGTGTACTGGTGGTACTTCAGGGCGTTGTACGAGTTGAAGTCCCGCTGGCACTTGTCGCAGAAGTGCTTCCGTCGCGACTTGCTGCCAGCCTCCTCCGGCAAGCTCGTGTCCAGCGTCTCTAAATGGTAGCCGCCGTCGCACTCGTCTTCAGGATCCTCTGCTTCGTCCTCCTCGAAGGGAGACGGCCGACCGCTGTCACCCACATCCTCCTCCTCCTGTTCCTCTTTGTCCAGCTTGTAGGCTTCGCCCAGCCCCAGAGGGGATCTCCGCAGCTGCTCGATTGTGGAATTGGGGGGCACAACGATCGAAGGCGGGGGAGGGGTTTGGCACACTGGAGGCGGCGCACCAGCAACCATCAAGGATGCCTCATTCGGCTCACTAGGCTTTGGCAGAGACTCCTCCAGCTTGGACCCCCCTTGGGAGTCGTCCTTTTCGGGGCTCAGGAAGTCCAGGGCCATGTGGTCCTCTGAATGATGGGCCGGATCTTTCAGTAGAGGGGCAGACTGCTCTGCGGAAGTTGGAGGTGGTTCTCCGGGCAGCAACAGAGCCGGGAATGTCATGTCGCTGAAGTTGTTATTGAACCACGGCGCTCTCATGGCACTGGAGGTCAGCTCGAGGTCCACCAGCTCGTCGCAGGTGTCTTCTATGGAGACCTTATCGACCACGTTGCGTATGCCTTCCAGCATGTCCTCCGTGTCGCTGAACTCCACGTCGTCCACCACCGGAACGGTGCTGGGGTTCGAGCCGGGATTGACGACCACCATGGGACACTGTTCTCCATTGTTGGGCTGCCCATGCATGACCATGTTCACGCCGCCACTGGTCACTTCGTCCACGTGGTGGGCGATGTTCTGAAAGTTCTCAAAGTTGAGTTGGACGTCCTGGAAGACCTGGTCCAGTTTGGCCTGCTCCTGTTGCAGCTAGAGGCACTCGGTTAGTAATCAGTTCTTAATAGTGAACACCAAGACGCTCACCTTGTCCTGAGCAGACAGCCCACACATGTCCAGGGGCTCCTTTTGCTGCTGCGGTTGCTGTTGGTGTTGGTGCTGGTGTGGGAGGGGGAGTGGGTGGGTCTGCTGGACCACCAAGCGCTCCTGCAGGACGGCGCTGGGCTCGTAGTGCTGCTTGAGGTGGGCGAAAAAGTCCAGCTGGGTGTGCACGGCGTAGCCACAGATCTCGCAACTGTAGACGGCAGAAGGCGCCACATCCTGAACGTTCTTGTGCTGCTCCATGTCAGCCTCGATGGTTCCCTTGAGCTTCCTGGAAATCCGCTTCTTGTGGGGCAGCACCTTGCGCGCATTCGTTGTGGAGGCGTTGGGCGCATACAACAGCTCCTCGTCCTCGTGCAGGCCGGCGGACACATCGATGGGAACCGTGGGCTCGATGGCCAGAGCCGGGAAGGCCGGCTGGGCCACCTGCTGCGGCACCACCACGTCCGTTTCCGGCGAGGATTTGTTCACGAACTGGAAGATGCTGCTGTGAAAGTTCAGCTCGGGAGTGAGAGAGTCGCCGGTGCTGTTGGTGGGGTTGCCAGGATTCGTGCTCAGGTTCGTGGGTCCCTCGGCCTTCGGAAACACTCCCGAGTGGTCTATGAAGTCCATTATGAAGGGATGGGTGTCCCCGCCGCGGAGCAGTTCCGAGGCCAGCAGCGTCTGTGGTGGAAAAGGGCATTTATAAACTGAATCCAGCTATTGGATCCGACCTTACATGATCTATGAACTGCTGGGTGTCCACTTCCTTGCGCTCCATCTTGGCGTGGATTCTCAAACACACTCCTTAAATTCGTAGGTAAGCCTAGGGGCTGCAGTGGTATTAGGGATTGTACTTCGCTTTGGTAAACATTTTCGTGCACTTTGCTGTGTAAACAAAATAATTTACAATTTCTTTTCAATTAAGCCCAGAATTTAGTGTGGCCATATGCGCTTGGCATATCAGCTGATAGAGTTAGCATTCTGTTAACAGTCGATGTAAACTGCTTTCTAGCACTTGCTGTAAACTGCTTGCTGTAATGAAGGCGCGAAATTTTGAAATTTCTGTTATCATGAAGGTAACATTTTTCAAAATATTTTAAATTTAATAATTTATTGTAATTAAAGATGAATGCCTTTTTAAAAAGATTAAAGCTGAAAAGAATGTATCTTGATTTATCAAAATGTTTGTTATGATTTATCTAGAATCTCCCGAATCGGGCTCCGTCGGAGATCAAAGTGCATTCATCCACGCCCTCTAACTCCACTCCCCGCTCCCCCTGCCAGTTGTCAGCCGCAGCGTTTTGAGGTGTTTCTTGACGGATTCCTCCAGAGAGGTTCCATTGTTATTGTTATGATTCATGGGAACTCGTCTGCGTAATTGCCTGAAACGGTCTGATCTAAACAAAGCCCTCGGTTGATATTTATTTTTATATTCAGTCCACTGCCTCGGAGATCAAAGCTGCGCGGGCGGAGCCCCAATTACATATCTGCGGATTGTCTAATAATTGTTTTTTAAACACTAATGGCTGTGCTAAACAGCCGTCGTTCGTCACATTAAATTCCGAAGAGGTTCATAAAATTTTATGGAGTTTTGCGGTTGCCCCGGGCCCCACTCGAGGTCCAAGTCGGGCCCATAAATACCGGCGCGAACATATGGCTGCGGAATAACCACCGGCTGGGGCTGCGGCTTCCTCCCCTGCCCTCCACAGGCCTAAGCCCTCTGATCCGTTTACCATAAATATGTTGATATATCGCTGAGCAGGATTAGCTTCCTGTTCGCGGCCATATGGAGCTGCCGGAGTGGCGGGGGCCGGGATTATGTGCCACTCCACAATCTGGGATATATATGAAGTGTTAATTTGTAGGGGAATGTTTATGGCTCCGCTTGTTGAACTTTATGTTCCAGCCAATTGGTGTGTGGACCGATTTGAGGGACTAGAGCTCCAACATTATGATACTTCATTCCAGATCTGATCAGCCACCATTTCTTGTGGAAATTTGTATCTAATGGCGTGTTAATATTTGGGAGCACGGGGAGGGTCTTTATTTTTTAGCTAATTCTCAGGGTCTCAGGAATATTTGCTTATGAGATCTCCAATATAAAATAGATCTGAGACTGCTGGATTTCTTTTCAATATTTCTAATCTCAAACAAGCCCAGATGGTTTTCGTATTAGTTCTGGTTATGATTGGGTCCTACAATGCCTTTCAGTACTCTTTCAATTGCAATATTTGTGGACAGCCGCATAAATATTATTTTTTCATTAGGGAGAATGCAAATTGTTTGCTTTTTGGCTCACGAATCAGACCCGCCCACCAGCTGGCCACCAGAGTCCTTGCACTGCCACCGAGGCACCTACCTGCCTCCTCCGCCTCCTCTGCCTTTTCCCGCCGACGTTTGTTTATTTTTCGAGCTACCAGCCGATATCTGTTTGTTTTTGGTTTAACGTCCTTCCAATTCTATAAAAATAAATAGCAGAGTCCTATCTATGGTCTTCAAATATTTTTAGCAAATATGCAAAGTCAATATTTTCCCAAGCCAAAAAATAATATAATAATACCTGCCTGGTAATGCGATTGCTTCGGTTTATTTCCGAGAAGCCTCCACGGAGGTGGGGTTTTTCGTTTAGTCCATTGTCTCAGAAAAGATACTGAGGATAAAAAACAAGGATGATATTCCTATCCAGCCTGTAACTTTATTTTCAAGATCTGAGCCCCCAGCTCGTTACGGAAGTTTGTGCAACAAAAAGAGGCAGCAGAAAAGTCTGCGGCTGTCAACATTCTGCACGTTATTACTCGCCACACAATACATAATGCCATTATTATCATAAGCGTGCTTTTTTGTGGATACAACAAAAGCAGCAGCAAGTTTCTCTAAAAAAGTAACAAAACAACACAAGCGTAAGGACCTTTCCCCCGCCCACGGCCCCTTCCCCTTTCCCGGAAGGAGGCAGGAAACATGCAAGTGGCCGAGTGCCTTCTTTTGTTCTTCGTCACGTACTGCGGTGCTGCCTCCTCCGGCAGCCCCCTTGCGAGCGGAAAAGTGTGGCTGCGACAACACCACCTTGCACCATGCGGAACTGGGAAAAGGACCCGTCCCCCCCCCGGACCAGCGCCAGGAGCAGGAGCCACCAGGAGCTACCTACCGCAGCCTCGAGTTTCGAGTTTTTCGCAGTTGCGAGGAGAGGAAGCGGAAACCGGGCCGTTCAAGGAGCCCCATCAAGGGCCGTTCGATCCTTCGAGTGCTTCGATACCTCGCGAATGGGGGGATTATAAAATAATACTATACATTCTTTGAATTAGTTTGGATTTGGACAGTTAATTGGTAGGAGGAGGTATGCGATTCTGGAGGTGGACTAGCACTTTGAGGGAATCCTGTTATTCGAATCCCCAAAAACCCAAAACATTATTCGTTTTTTCATCCACAGGACTTGTTTCCTTCTCGACAGTGTCGCCTTGCGGGCTCAAATTATAAAACAGGGGCTGCAGGACGCTGGAAAAGCCCCGCCCTTTGGTCGCCCTTCCCCAAAACCCCAACACTTCCGTAGCCTGTTTCCAGGTTGGGGCGTGGGGGTGCTGCTGCATAAATATTGTCAACAACATCCAGCAACAACATCCGTTTCTGGGACGTCAGGGGGTGGCAGGACCTCCCAGGCAGTCCCCGCCTCGCCACCCCCATCGAGCCCATTCTCTGGCCACGTTTCCGCCCGTCCTTGTTTTTGTTGGCAGCAGTTTTGTGCTCATCTCAGCGAAAAATCTGTTGACGGAATTGTCACGTGCTGTGTGCCCGGGCACTGTTTTCCACTTGTCCCAGTCCGTGTCCTGCCAAAAGGATGTGCTCCGTATAGTTTTTTCGTATAGTCGCACTTGCATGGGGGATGTGTTGCCTCGTGCCACTTTTGGCCCGTGTCTGGTCTGAGCTCCGAGCTCCGAGCTCCTCGTTAAGTGGAAAGTGCAATGCGGCGGCGAACAAGTGGCGACTCGAGCCAGCTATCTGATTTGCTTACCCCTATTAAAAGGACATTACGTGGGGAGGATAACGAGAGGCACTTCGGGGGAGGCTGATGAGCACAGTAATCCAGGAAAATTATCAAATAATTGGCAAACAGGGTACTCCGATTTCTTGCAATAATTATGCTGGGATATCCCCACCGCCAGCCGCCAAACTAATTACGAAACCCATGTGCAGTGAGCTCCCCTCCTCTGAAAGGACGCGATTGTTAGAACATCGGGCTTCCCGCCAGGCCTGCACACGCCCTGCTCTACCTTTTTGCGAGTCGCGAAATACCGACATTTGTGTGCCCCGGAGATGTCCGGGCGGACACACCCCAGTGAACGGAGAAGTCCGGGGCATGGACTTCGATTCGCATCGATCCCCGCCTCGCAGCGGTCCTGGAATAGTTTTCACATGTTTTGTTCGAGCATTAATTCCGTTTAAATGACTTCCGCCGCAGATTCGAGCCCGGCGTAATCAAGTGGAAGTGAATTTGACCAACACAAGAGGTTGTGCACAATCGTGTGTTTTGTTGTGTGTTTTCCGCGGGGCCATTAGTTTGATTGTTCCGGAGGCCACTGAGCCGTGAAAAATGTATAAGAAATAAAGAGCTCTGATCGGGGGAACCAAAAGACCAAAGCTTTGAGCTCTGAAGCCCAGATTGTTGATAACCGCAACAGAAAACTTCGCCACGGGATGTTGGTACGGAGATCTCCAAGAACGTTCAAGTCATTGACCCATTCGGTCTTAAGCCCTGGAGGTCCATACCCCTAAGGTGAGGTTACACAGGCCCATGTACTCGATGGTGACAGGGAAACCGATCCCGCTAATACCTTTCCACTCAGAGCGTCCTTGAGGAGCCAACCGAAACCCGAGAAACACCCAACTCGAGATTACCAGTTATGGTGTGTGACTGTGACCAAACATCGCGACAGGATCTCGGATCCTGTCCCAGAACTCCAGCCTCCGTCAAGGCCAATGTATGGCCACAATTTTGCGTTAGCCGTCAATGCCAAAAGTTTCGACCAACATTTATACGGTTAACCAGGAGAGGCCAAAATATCCCATTTACTCTGGCCACACATCGGTGCGCTCAAGGACGAGTGCGAGTCCAAGGACACGCAGGCCCGAAGAGGCCTCAGGACAGGCAGCTGAGTTTTGCCTTCTTGCTGTCGTCGGGATGTCAGAGTCAGCGGGTGCGTGTCCTTTTGTTCGTCCTTCCCGTGCAATAGAGGCTGCACTACTCGAGGCTCATCATCTCGCAGGCAGGCGCATCCTGCCGCGTGTGTCCCTCGCTGTGGATCCCCCCCTGGACATTGATTCCTGTGCCGATTCGGGCCGCCCCCTCCGGTGCACTGCTGGTGTAAATCGGCGACATTTAACACTAACCTTCCGCTCTCCGGTGCCCAGCGCTGGCCTGCGAGGACGTTGTCAGCAGGCGATGCCTGACAGAAGGCCTCGGGGCACCAGCACTACGCCAAGTTGGTTTCCGGAATCAAAACAGCACCTGAGGCTTCCCGGGCGGGGTTTTCTCGGACAGATGACTTTAACAGAGCACCTAGAGAGGCTTGTGTTGCAATCCAGTGGCACGATTTATAGGATTTGATTGTGTTATGAAAGGATATATCCTGCTGATAAAGTCCAGGACTTTATTTATGTAAATAAATATGGTACATTCGAGCTATTCTTGTTCCCTCTGTTAAGGACTATTGGGGATATACTACCATTACTATTTTCCTTTGCAGACATTCTCACAAGTGCTTAGTACCCGTGTTTTAGTACCAGATCCTGTAATAACAATAAGCCCCCAACCCCTCAGACTCGCATCTTTCATCCTTCCCTCGCCTATTTACACAATGATAACCAAATATTTTCGATGGCAAGACATTTTCCAATTTGAAGCAATGAAAACATACAAGTCGCTGAAGGCCTTTGATGTTCCTC